AACTGTGTACACTGCACTGGAGAGAATCGCAGACAACGAGAGACGGATGAGACCTGAGGGGTTGCTGAGCCCATCCCCAAGACAGGGGAGCTGTATCTAAAATAGCAGGACAACTCAAGCGTTGTATTGGATGCCTTACAACACAGGAAGATCTTTCAAAGCTCAGGAAGTAGATGTCTGCAATACCAGGTTAAAGAGATCCAAGTCCTACAGCCGTGGACACTGGCAACTTCCAAGCAGTCTTAGCAAACGCCAGCATCATGGCCAAAGTCAACCAGTTAGACCGGATTTGCGCCAAAGTCATTAAGAGCAGTGCAAAAACTCCAATCGCACTTGACATTTCATAGTATCCTAGAAAATGAGGATTGGAGGGGGCCTCAGGAGACCACATCTAGTCCAACCCCCTGATCAAAGCAGGACCAGCCCCAACTACATCATCCCAGCCAAGGCTTTGTCTAGCTCAGTGATAAAATCTTCCAATGATGGAAAGTCCACAAACTCTCTGGCGAGCCTGTTCCAGTGCTTCACTGCCCTCCAAGTGATAATTTTTTTCCTAATATCCAACCTCAACTTCCCTTGCTTCAGCTTGAGCCCATTGCTCCTTGTCCTGTCATCTGCCCCCACTGAGACCAGTCTAGCTCCCTCCTCTTTTCAACCCCCTGCAGGGAGTTGTCAGGCTGCCTGTCTAGAGTCTAATAACAAAATTTGTCCAGGGTCTAATAACAAAAACCACTACTAGATCAAACCAGTAGTCCACATGACCATTACCCGTTTTTTTTAATAAGGGACACGTTCCACGATCAGATAAAAGTTTCCTCCTATCTCCAATCTCTTAGCAGTTGGTGTATGCCTTGAAGAGCAAGGGTTTATCTATCTCCTTTACTTCCTTTTTTTTCCACCCAGCTGATGCAATTACAGATATTCTCATTCTCTGAATAAATGCCTAAACCTTTACAAAGCTTGCCAAGAAGTTGGCCTTCTTGTGGCTGCAAATACCAAGCTGACTTGTGCACAGCAGCAATACAAAGGCTTCAAATGCATTGTCACATTAACTGAATTGCTTTTAATATGTTGTGTTTTCAGACAAGGACCGTCACCACAGGGCTACCACCTGCAGGTGCTACAAATTCAAACACACACTGGAGACAAGGAGGGTTTAGCAGGCACTCCCAAATGTACCTTTGCTACATGGTTTTGTTAATGCCTCTGCCATCCCACTTTTGTTCAACTCCTCTGAATTACTCAGGGCTAATCTTATTAATCCCAGTATGACCATCTAAAATGGGCCCAAGATATGGCTTCAAAATACACCAGCTTTTCAACTACTACACCTTGGCTCTTAATCTGCATCCTGCCTTTCTGGGCAGATCTCTCCAGTGCATTTTGCATAGGCAGGAGCTTCCCTGCCTTCATCCAAAGCCCCTTGTGATGTCTACGTTGTCTCTCTGGTTTAGCCGTCCTCTGCATTTGTGTCTGAGGTTGCTGTTTCTTCTTCTTTTTTTTATTGTTCCCAATATGTCACTCAACATTACTCAATGCGAGATGCGTTTAAATGTGTCGATGCTGTTGCTTAGCAGATCTGAATATGCTTTACAATTTCAGCTTGTTGTTGTGCCTTGGAACCACGCATCTCTCTTCCCTCGCTCCCTAGCAAGCTGGTATCATCAGCAAGTTTACTGAAAGGAAAAAATAAAATAAAATCCTGGCTCCCCCGCCAGTCGGCCTGTCTGGGAAACACTTGCTTGAGATTTTAAGAGAACTGCAGAGGCTCAAGGAAAAGTAGGAGAGCTGCCAAAAAAGCCCACCTAATTTTGCTACTCAGTCAGGAAGCAATCTCAGAGACTATTAGTCTTCCATTTTCTACCCCATACCTCAGAGCTTAAATAAAAGAATGCATCAAGTAAATCATCATCAATGGCTTTGTAAGAGTCCTAATACAGAGCTAATATCAGCCTTTCCTGAGCAGCAAGCTAATTTCATATAATAGCTTTCAAAGCAGACACAAAAGGCGTGGAGCACCCAGGTGACAGGATGTTCTAGCCTTGGAAATTAGACCTGGGCCTTGTATTGGTGCTCAGGGTGGGGGATAACGTGCTAACTAAAAATTATATGTGCACCGTTGTCTGGTGGGCCTTTTAAGATATGAGCCAGTTGTGAAGTGCACAAAGTAGCAGCTCTCATTTTTGTTCCCTTTGATTTCCAGCTATACATTATTATTTGGATTATGGAAGCCGTCGGGGGGCTCCAGCTGAGATCAGTTAGGCACTGTACACAGAGAGCAAAGCTCTCCCTATCCCAAATCACTTGCAATTTAAAAAGACCAACCCAAAGGGGAGAGAAAGGCAGTAGGAGCTGCACTCCGCATGCTACCGAGACAGGAAGAGTTTGAGCAACTTGCCCATGGTCGTTGAAGAAGCCTGTGGCAGAGCAAGGAACAGGCCCTAGATCTCGAGAGCACAGGTGCACCAACAAGTTACTAAGAGGTGAGCTACGGCTTTCTCCAACTCAGCCAACCACTCCAGGTCACTCCAAACACTGGTGTATTTGTGTTGGGGTGTACACATGCCGTGGTAGTGGTAGGAGGGATAAGCACCTAAAAGAGAGACTACCTGATCTGAGCTGAACTCAGCGCATCCTGTTACAGCACAGAACGAGAGCTCACAAGCCATAAAGGCTTTCCAAAACAACAGTTGCACACTCTCCATCCAGCACTCAATTTACTTAGGAACATTTAAAAATAACCCTACCTGTCTGGATCAATGAAGAAGGCAGGGGGAGAAAAAAAATGGGGCATCTGTGTCATCTGATGCATTGAAGACTAAATCAGATAGAGCGCTTTAAAAGAATATCCCATGGGAACAACTCTGCATTGGCCTCATGAGAGCCAGCTGGATGAGACCGAATGGTTCTTTTCCAGCACCGGCGATGTTTACTTTTATTCCTGTTTTGTGAGAATAAAAAAGGCAAAGATCAATGGCAGAACAGAAAGGCCCCAATTTTTTTTTAAGAGGGGCTAAAAATAAAGCACTTGGCATTCTCTTGGCAACGCACCTTGAAAGTGCTTTATAAACCGTAGGAAATCAGTCATCAATACCCCAGGCAGGACGGGAGGTGAGCATGGATCCAGTTTCGCAGATGGGAGGCAGGGTTATGGTGCATACAACTCCCCCATGGTACGAGAGGCATCCTCGGCACGCCGCTCTGTGTTTAGCCCCCTAAGTACTTCCTATTTCCCCTCCTGGAACCGATGCCTTTATTTGCATTGGCAGGGCAATGGGAGTGACGCAGAAGCGACATCTACATTTACCAGATTTGGGAATTTGATCAGATGTACCCGGGATGGGCATCTTCACAATGTTCAAACATGTGCATTTGACGTGGTTTCTAGACCCTTCATTCAAACCACTGACAGGCACTGGTGCCTCTAGGTCCTTTCCGACAACGGAATGGAAGTCACTGGTCTACAGCAGCCACAAAGCCGAGCTGGCATCGAGTTTATCCGCAGCAAGTTCCTGCGCAGACAAAAGCCCCTTCCTGAGAATAGCTCTGCCTCAGCTGTAAGAGCAAAAGAGAAAGGATGCCGAAGCAGGTCTGGATGGCTAAACACACCTGGACCGGCAGCTCAGACGTAATTTATGCTGACAGCAAGATTTCTAAGCAACAGACTCCCCAAGGAAGAGATGACAGGTCGGCCTCCTGGGCTATCTGAACCCAGAGCAGACAAAACCCTACTGCACAAGCTACAAGGAACGTTTCTTTTTACGTTCACTGGGCAGAGGAAGGAGCTGGACCAAGGCCGTGCATGTGTCTATTATTGGCATCTGCGATGCCACAGAAGGAGAAGCTAACGATGATAAGTTCTACTTACAAATCGCTTTCTGTGGAAGGGCTCAACCGCACGGTAGAGGCTTGAAGCCTTATAAAAAAAAACTTCTGTCGTAGGTAAGCAATAATGAGACTGATGTTATGAGGCAAAGCAATACCCCAGGATAAGTTAGGGTAGAAATAAGAAACAAAAACAGAAGTACAGATGCCCATCCCTCTACTCTAACCACTGGACAACGATCCCTCACCTGCCTTCTTGGGAATCAGTCTCGGTGTTGTGTGCCCCAGCTTCAACTTCCATTACTACAGTGTAAGTTGGAGACTGTAGGGAATAAGAAAGGGTTCGATGCTTCACCTTGAACCAATGGGGAAGACGCAGAATTATTATTACTTTAACATACCAAACCATCTAATCCACCCAAATACACCTCTGTTATTGGCTCCCAAAGACAAATCAGGGAATTCAGTGGGTAGGTTTTCTAGTAACAACGGAAATATCGAGTCTAACCAAATTCAAAAGCTCCTCTAAGCTTCCTTTTCTTTTAAGCTTACTATAACATCCACCTGGCCAAAATCCATACAAGGCAAAAAAAATAATCTATAGTTCCTAGTACATGCACTAAAGCAAGGGCACAAAGCAGTCTTTAGCCATGTCTTGTAAATCGGCAAGATCCCCTTCCTGTCCCCACGCTACGTCTGCTTTTCCACAATAAGGCTACGGTAGTCTAACCCAGGAAAGGGTAGCCCTGAGGTCAGTGTCTTTGGCCTTATTCCTAATTTCAATTCTTCATGCCCCCACTTCATATCTATAACATTAGTTTTTTAAACGCTGCCAGACAATCCCCAACAAGCTGGCAGGGACCTCTGGAGGTAGCTACTCCAACCCCTTACTCACAGCAGCATCGCCGCCCCTCTGGACTCTCTCCAACACATCCATGCCTTTCCTGATGGGTGGTACTCGGAGCAGTTTAAGGCAGCAAACAAGACTATGCGGCTCACCAGCTAGGTGCTTTAGTACCTGGGGCTCTTATGGAAGATGAACTTTTAAGTGAGACAGGCACTAGGTAAAAGAGGAGCTTGGAGCACTGCAAAGACACAGTCGACCTCTACCGGGGGAAAGAAACCCTGGGAGAAGGAAAAGCTTCTTGGAGACAGGGGAAGGGGATAATTCTTACCAGACTTGTTTTGGCAGCAAAAGCTGAACTGATCCTGCCCGTGTTTCCTAGATTCTCTGCAGATCTACAGCAGGTTGCAGGAGACGGCAATTTCTCCCTGGAGAAAGCAGCTACGGCATGGATCTCTTCCATTTACCAGGAGCACGGCTCGCTCCCATGCAGCCTGGGAGCCCCAGATGACCATTTGCCAACACCTGCAGGCAAGAAAGGGATCAGCTTCTTCACCTGCCTCCCAGGTCAGAGGACTCCCCAAGCCGCAGGGCTCTGGCAGTCTCACAGGAGCAGCATCCCTGTTGTGATGTGAACAGTGCTGTCGGCTCTACTTTATGACAGGTTTTTGCAATTATCTCTGTAAAGCTGAAGTTGATTAAATGATTTTCCAATGACCCCGCCTAGCCAGGTGCATAAATCAGTGCAGCACTGATCAGGGAGCTGGGGGCTTCCTGCAGATTGCTAAATCTAGTGTACCCCACAGTTAACAGGGGCTCAGAGGTGGCTGTGTGGCCTGTCCATATCCCAGATCTGCAGACACCAGGCCCTGAGAAGTACTATGCACCCCACTCACACCTGCAAGCTCACGCTACACCCCCAGCTGCTTAGTTGCTTCAAGGTCCAGTGTAAAACAGCTTCTTCTACTTCTAAATCCCTCCCGTGAACTCACACAAGCCAACTCACAGATCTGGCCCCCGCCCTCACCATCCTCCTGCCCGTCTCCCCCTCTAGGTCCCTCCCATGTGCCCGTACTTTACCGGACCAAGAGCCTTATTCCCCGCTTCATGCTGCCACATGGAGCAGCTCTCCTGCTTCAGCCTCATGTTACCCACTCTGCTGCCAACTCAGGTCTGAAATCCCTAATGCACCTAGTGCCATTTCTGCAGTTTCTTCCCTCTGGCTTGGTCAGGGAGGTGGAGACCAGTCACACAGAACAACCCTCTCCCATATCGGATCCGACTCCCGGTCCTGCGCCTTTTCCCCTTCCTCAGCGTCTTGCAGGACTGCATGAACCACAGCCCAGGCCACCATCTGGTTTCAGTTTTCAGATTATGTCTGCCATTAGCTCATTACTTCTTTCAACACCTGCTCTGCAGACACCCGAGGTGTTTGCACCCAAGGGCAGGGGGAGGCCTCACTATATCGGTTCCTTCTGCTCAGCCCCAGCATTCAGCTCTCCTTTAACACGACCCTTTCATGGGCATGATAGCTCATTCGTGTCCACAAAGCGAGCTCATTAGCTGCTCATCTAGAGCCTCTGGCATCACGAAGAGTTGCGTTTCAGCCCCGAAGCAGTAAGCAGACACCCAAATTAAGCAATAATCCAGTAAAGCAGCACAGGTAATGTAGAGGGAGAGCCCAGTGCTGGGCAGCTCTTATGCACATGAGCAGATTGCACTATTCAACATGCCCCATATATGCAGGATGCTATTAAGACATACAATTGTGCAGTATTTCCCTGTTCCTGCAATGTGGCTCTTTGCAATGAAATAACAGCCAGGCGGGACTTCAAGGAACGCCAGGGACACCTCTGACGCCGAAGGCGCAAATCTGCCACTTGAACTAAAGGAGAATCTCCACTTGGTGGGCAGCGCAGGGTCTACATCATGCAGTCAAGCAATGCTGCTTTTCTCCCCGAGAGGGCGGTGAGGCCCCCACGCTAGCTGCTATGAAACAAATGACAGCGTAGAAAACGAAAGCAAGATGTTATCCTTACAAAGCCTGATGGAACAGCAGTCCAAATCAAATAATCCTTTTAGCAACAAGTAAGGAAGGCAATTGCTTCAACTGAGGAATTGCTTGAACAATTGCCGCGTTTTCACCTGCAAATCAATAATTCAGTTACGGTGTCCAGTCAAAGTAGGTTCGAAAGGAATAAAGGCCAAACGATCTTTCCTTCTGTCCCTCTACGCAGGCAGGGCAGCTATGGAGCTGCTTGTCTGCTAGCGACATCATACCCTGCCCAAACAACAAGGAGGTCAGAGAGGAGCTTTGGGGTGTCTCGCTAACTCTTCTGATTGAACCGATAACCCGGACGCACTCGTCAGGACAGGAATTTCGAGTCTGCTGGATCTCAAAGACATAAATACGCTCTGAGGCCGCGGAAGTTCAGCCGCCAAGTACACTCCAATCAGACGCCGGAGAGGCACAGAGTCCCGTGCTGTTGCAGATCAGCTGGGAGCAGGAGATGGTGCCGTTCGATATGGACTCTGAGCAGCCCAGAAAAGGATGTGGGGGTCACAACTGATAACCTGGCACTGGAAATGATGAAACTGCCTTTGATTTGGATATGTATAGGAAAACCCTGGAGATCTCTCCCCACTTCCGTACACCTGCTTGGCTGCACGAGCCTGTTGCAGCCTGAACCGCTGGTTCGGTGAGGCTTTCCACCCAGCCCACCGCTTTTCCCTCAAGCAGTGTCGAGGAATTTAGTTCAGAATGTGGACTAATGCCTGTGACCTCCCCACCACAGACTGAGATCCCAGCAGACCCTGCAAAGCAAAGCATCTCAGCCCTTGAACGGGAAACCCAATATAGCAAGGGACGGTGGGCAACTCCAACGCTGATGCTCTTCAGCCGAGCCAACACTAGTGTGTTGTGATCGTACCAGCACGGCACTGGTGAGAGGGGAAGAGCGAGGCCGGAGGGGTTATTTTTCAGATGAGATAAACAAAGTCCTCGTCCCTGGCATTTAACTTCCACATGAGTTGCCTTCTGCTGAGCTCCCTTCCCCTTGTAGCTTTAGTTGCAAAAGTCTCTTCATCAATCTGGGCTGCTAAGACTCACCACTGCCAGGAAAAAAAAGCAACCACCACCCAGGCATTATTAAAAACATGCAAACAGAAATCAACGGGCATCTCCAGCCAAGATTTGTCTTAACGCTTTATGGCCCTCAAAGCAGAGGCAGGTTATTCCTTTAGGTCTTATGCAGCATTGCATCAGGTCGATGCCTACTGCCTAGATAACAGGCCAGGAAGAGGGAAATGCAGCCCGGCCGAAATGCTTGTACTGCGCTGCTGCATGCCATTAAAGAGCTGCCAGCTTTTAGCCTGGAGGTGGCTGGAGGCAAAGAGTGGACGAGTGATGGTCTGAAAGGGGGTCCTGCCATAAGCTTGAGATAAAAAAGGGGTGAACCTGTAATGATATTAGTACAACACAGACTGAAAGAAAAAGGCTCTCCGTGTTGTCTGGGCCATTGTGTGTCAACAGGGGTCATTTCTCGGTACCTGCCATGTGGTTCAGTGCCTCTCAGAGTTGTTTTCTGGCACAACCCCGCACTCCTTGGACCAACTGGCACAGGGATGCTTCAAAAGGTATCCAGCTTGGAGGCAGGTGGCCCAAATTTCTGCATCCCCCAGCCATGAAGCAGAGGTGACTGGCTCCAGAGGAAAGTGCTCCTTGACAAAAGCCAAGGTCAGACATCGCAGCAGAGTGGCTGGAAGAATGAAAAGGGGAAAGGAAGGACACCCCAACTCCAGCCCCACCAATGGCACTGGTTGGCACTTGATCAGAGACAGAAAAAAAATCAGGGGAGGAAAGAATCCCCACCATGCCGTAGCTCCTTAATGAATGGCTTGGGATCCACTCCCCAGTGATGCACAGTCGTGTTTGATCAGTGCCTTGGGGTAAGAAAGCCCCGGAGGAATCCCAAAGCACGGAGCTCATAGCAGCTCTGAGCAGCAGCTGCCCCAGATGTGAAACACAACCCTGTTTAATGGCATCCAATAGCATCCACTTGGACCTGAAGAGGGGACACGGACAGATGAAACCCATGCTTAACTTGGATGCTGCCGTTAACATCCTCTGCTCTAAATCCCACAACCCAACTCTAGAGCGTGGGCTCTAGCACTGTCATTTCTGAAAGGGCTGATGCATCAAGGCTGTTTCCACTGCGCAAGAGATGATGCCTCCCACGGGACGCTGCCGTCAAACAGAACGAGGAAAAACCTAGGCATGCTTCCATCACTCTTACCCCACATTGAGTAGCACGTTACTTAGCCAATAACCCCACTCAAATCAACAGCACTGCTTTTACGGTAGAGTCTGCATAATATGAGCCCCGTGTGGCATATCCCTGGTTTATGCAAACCCCAGAACTGCTTCCATCACCCTAGCTGGTTTTTGGGGGTCTCTTATCTCAGTATAAATCAGGCTGATCTTTTATAGCTTGGGAAAACAGCCAAGATTGCAGTGAAAGGATGGCCTGCAACCTTGGTCTCCCAGAGCCATCCAGCACCAGCCACCTAGGACTGCCTGCGATCACAGAATCAATGAGTCAGCCAGGACCTAGACCGATCATCGAGTCTGACCCCCCGCCATGGGCAGGAAGGAGCATTGGGGGTGGCAGGGGTCATAAGACCCCAGCCAGGTGCCTATCCAGTCTCCTCCTGAAGATGTC